TCTTATATTAATACATTACTGTTGTATCAGAGCTCCTCACCAGTTTCAGTAGGTTGCTTCTTCCATTGAGTGTGTTCTAGGTGTCTCCATTCTAGAAATCTGGACATGATTCATCTGGTCCATTTTGCTCTAGTAGAAGTTGCACTAAAACCTCCACTAGCACAGGTCACTAGATCTCCTTTGGCCACATAAATAGCCCACGGTTTCTTCTTCATCAGGAAGAAGCCTTACGTTCAGCTTTGTCTTCATACATTTAAAGAACTACAGCAATGCTAGGTGTTCAATTTGTCAGAACCAAAGAAAGATGACTAAACTTCGTGAAACAGATACAAAGAAGTTGCCCTCTTGAAGTGCTTGTTTTCCTTCATAGACCGGACAACTTGCCAGGGTTAAATCAGACTGGATCATGTCTAATATTTAAAGTTCGATGAGATAAACCTCTTTGTCTCACAACTGATTCACAGCAGAAACAAGGCAGTTCAAAGAAACACAAACAAGATGAGTAGGAGCAAGGAAGGCTTCTGTTTGACATGTGCATGATGAGAAATTAATTTAGAGGGAAAGCAGGTAAATAATAACATGATAGGGCTGTTCACTAGTAGACTGGAAGAGATGAAATGAATACAGCTACCTACTCCATTCCATTTAGGAGTGAAGGAGCATCAAATAGGACAGAACAAATCTGAATATGGAAAAGAAGAATCCTTTCCTCCATACAGCAGAATCATCCCATAGACGTGACGTAACAGGAACCCAACAGTTTCAAAGCACTTGGAAAAAGCTGTCAAGTGTATCAAGACAAGGAGGATACCAGCAGTTGCTTTAGTCAGTGAGAAAATGCAATTATTTTCTCACACAGGGTTAAAGGGTTACACTGTTCTTTTATGATACATACAGATTGGTGAAAATTGAACTGCTGACCTTGTCATTAGTCATATGAGAAACGTAAAAAAAAAAAAAAAAAAAAAATAGTGTACATTTGCCTCAAGCCTATGTTTGATTTCTGGATGCATAGCCATATTTACCCAAAGCTTGTAAACAAGCCAAAACTTGCATGCTTAAAATTGATATTTTTCTTTACAAATTTGTTTAAAATTTGCTCCTTATGTTGCATGTAAGATGTAACATAGCTTTTATTTGTTGAAATGAAATCACTTCTAACTTTCTCTTTTATGTCTTCCACTTTTACAAGATGTTTCTTCTGGCAATATCAGTCAACTTTCTTTACCTTGTTCTTTGTTCCCACATTGCCAATATTTCTGTGCTGCTGACTTCTGCACATATCCTCAGGAGTTTTTCTGATGATACTGTGAACAGGAGACCCTGGATGTTTACCAACTCCTTACTTATTTATTATACCTGGCTCACTTCCTAGGACACACTGAAAACAGTGTCTGTTCTTGTTGATTGCTAAACAAACCCTGTAAGGAAGCAGTTCTCCAGTATGTCTAGGAACATTGCTTCTTCCTTTGGGACCCCATCACTGTCATGAAGGGCAACACCTGGAAAGCAGAGGCTCTCTGAGCTTTTGTACAAACCTTGCTACCTGCACATTGATCCACATTTTTCAGCAATATGCAAAGGAGTATCTGTTTGGATTTCTTGCTGTTGTCATTAGTATTTATCGAGTTATGCCTCAAATTTTGTTGTCAAATGAGACACATAATTTATTGAAACATTGTCTCCTATATTTAATCCAAATCTTTTAATTTCCCCGCACAGCTCTGACAAACTCATCAGGGCATGGAGAACTGTAAGGTGAGAATGAAGGTTTCTGCTCCTCAAAGAATCTCTGATTCCGCTGCAGGCAAATACAGCTGCTGCTTTTCTGTTTGTAGTATGTCCAGCATTATATAGGGATGAAATTTTCAGCACTACTTTAGAGATTTGGATACTCATGTTCCCTTAAAACACCATCCTAAACATTTCCAAAAGAATTCCAGAAATGCCCAACAGATACGACTCTCTTGCCTCATCTCTGACTGACCTGCCATAGAAGTGTTTATGAAACATTAAAATTTGCATTATTCCAAATGCATCATGTCGAATCTCCCTGATGGTGCTGCCTTTAATATACACCACAGCGAATCTCCAGCAACAAGAATTTGCACCTTCTTTTACATTTACAGGGAAATTTGTCTTTTTCCATCTCTTTTGTTCTGGTCTGCCTCAATTTTAATGCAGTGAGGTTTCTACCAGAACTCCTACTGCGTAACCACTATTTTAAAACTGAATAATGTCTGGCAGATAACGGTCAATGCCTTAGTTCTGAAGGGCTTTTTAGGCATCTGAATGTCAAACAACTACACAGCAGTTTATATGTGTCTCCTTTGCACCACAGGTCTCTGGGGTTTGCCAGTGTGAATGTGAAACTGTCCAAACACTGTAAGCCTTTCAGTGGAAAACATTGTTGGCAAAGCAGAGGAAAGCAAAGGAAAGAGGTAAAAGAGAGGAAAGATATTAAGAAACCAAAATCAGCCTCTGAGCTGATGTTATTTCTGAATTATTAAATATGGTGAAGTGCCGTTTCTTTCTGAAGAGGCTTGACTTCTCTCACTGCTTGAGTTCAGGGTGAGATCAAAGAGATGATCAGAGCCTCAGTTCCATGCTCTGACTTTCTGGAGTATCCCAAAGGGTCTCCTGCCTTGGCCCCTATTTCTGGAACTCCCTGTAAAATGTGGCAAGCACTTCTGAGAGCATTCCTGAGCAGGAGGTGACTTTCACTGTGCTTCTGTACCCACCTCACAGCTAAGAGATGTTACATTTCTCCTTGTCCTGCAGGAGTCCAGGACACAGACAGAGGACCTGCTGAGCCTCCTTCAGCGATTTCACATGAACCCATTTGTTCCCCACTCCATGTACCTCTAGAAGCCCAGACTCTGTTTCTCCATTTTATCACCTGACAATTTTCCAAGACTTTTCACACCACTCAGTCTAACAGTAAAAGGAGATTGCTTACACCCAAATTCCTGGGACCCAGACTGTGACACATGTCCCGCTGTTTGATTCCCGACATGGCAGGGGCATCACGTGTAGCAGTGCAGCAAGTTCATTCTTGCACTGACCTGCAACTGCACGGAGAGCTGACTCCATGGCACAGGAGGTTACACACAGCTTTAGTAACTATAACTCTGTTGTTTTATCTGCCACATTGAGTGCATATGATGGCAAATATGGAGAGTAGATAAGCATCCTGGTGTAACACAGAGGGTAAAGTCAGCCCAAGAGTG